AGGTGATCATATTGAAATGTGTAAGATTCTATGGGACTTTCAAATATTGAGTGCATGTTTCTCCTCATGGGAGAAACTGGAACTAGAGGCACAGTTTTAAATAAGGGGTCTCCCATTTAAGATGGAGAAGAGGAGGTTATGTTTTTCAAAAGGGTTATTATTCTTTGAAATTCCTTTCCCCAAAGGGTGGCTGGGTTTGGATCATTGAATATGTACAAGGCTGCACCAGACAGATCTTTGCTCTGCAAAGGAACTGGGGGCTATGCCGATCAGCCATGATCTTATTGACCGGCGAAGCAGGTATGATGGGCCAAATGGCCGACTCCTAGTCCTTTTTTGATAAGTTTTTATCTTCGCCATTCATAGACCCATGAACTGAGCATTTTGACAGGCTGTTAGAGTTGCCAAATGTGATGAAATGTATTCCTGGTTCCGACTGCACTCCAGCCACTGGTCAAACATTGCATCCATCCCCGTGACATATTGCTATCCTCTGCCTATTGGGAAGTGAAAAGACTCATTACCCCACCGAATTGGATAGCCATGTCAGCCGGACAGCTTTGTTCCCCCCATTTTTGACATTTTCTTTCTGATAGAGAGAGAGAGAAACTGCATCTCCTGACATCCTGAAGGGTTCACGTTGTTCATGCAGAAAGTTCTGCTCATACACACTTTGTAACACGCTCTGCTGGTTTAAAAAAAACATGGTGGTGCCCAAATAAGTACTATAAATATGGGCAAAACGGGGCAGAATAACAACAATGGCAGGGAGTACTGCACTGTGTGTTTTAGGGGATTAACAGCAGACATTCGGAAAGATAAATGTTCAAAGAAAGTGACAAAAAATATCCCTGCCTTTTCACATCCCAGTGAATGTTCTCCAGGGTTACACAGTGATGTCTTAGAAGTTGGCTGACCCTGGAGGGATAATGACCCAAGGAACTCCTCTCTCTCTCTCTCCCTCTCTCTCTGTCTGTGTCTCTCTCTCTCTCTCTCTCTCCCTCCCTCCCGTCTCTCTCTCTCTATTTTTTTCTCTCTTTTTCTCTTTCTATTTTTTTCTCCTTCCTGCCTTCCCTCGTTCCCTCTCATTTTTACACCTTGAAGACAAGGCTACAGGCCAAGTACTGGAAAATGGGATGAGAATGGTTAGGTAATTGTGTTTGACTGGCATGGATGTGATGGGCCGAAGGGCCTTTTTCTGTGCTGTAGAGTCGGAGAGATCTATGACTCTTCGCACTGCCAAGTGAAAGTGATGGATTGCAAATGCTGAGTCCTGCATCATGTTGATGGTGTCACAGCAACACTGGCCCTGGGAGTATTTTAATAACTGTCTCTGTTTTGTCATGTCAAGAGAACATTTAAATTTATTGAGTTTAACTGCATAGTAATCATATTTGGAATTATTAAAGGCTTGCATCTGTGTCTTTCCATTGGCTGTTTTCATCTTTTTGTCTCCTTGCCCTGGGCTACAGACATCCTCAAAATAGCTGTTATTAATATCACTCAGTGACTCACTCTCAAAGTTTGTTTCTCTAATTCTGTCTTTTTCCCCTCACACCAATCTGCGGTGTGTTTGGGTGGGTTGGCCCACCTGGGGTTGAATCTGGTGTGGATTGGGTTGGGAAGATTGAAAGAGCCTGACATCAGGCAGCTGCCTTGTAGTAGTCTCCAACCTCCCAGATATCCGGCTTTTTGCTGTGTTCGGGGTGAAGGAATTCCCAAGAGAACTTCCATGCAATTCCCTGTATCCACGTGACTTTCCCATCCACAAGTGTCCCAGCCAAACAATGATATAATAAAGGATAGCCACAGTGGGTATGGATCAGCCATCGTCTCATTTGAATGATGTAACAGGCTTGAGGGGCTGAATGGCCATCTCCTGTTATTGAATTTTCTACATCCTAGATCATGAGTGTCATCTTGAAGAGGGTTAAAAATGGAACCTGCAAACTAATCTGATTTATGAATGATTTATTGTCACATGTATCTCCCAAGATACAGTGTAAAGTGATCTGTCACCATGATATGGCGCATTTTGAGGTACAAAATAATGAAAAGAAAGTACTTAAATAGAGTTCATCCTCACTGGCCGGGGGTCCAAATACGGCTCCAGGATTTTTGCGTGGTCCACGCTCCGGGCCTCCCTCTGCCAGGACAACCTGCTCCTTCAGCACAGCACATGACACCTTGCTGCCAATTCTGGGAGTCCACACATCGGGCCTTCAAAGCCAGGAGTCATCACTCTGGTCAGCGTTGATGCCGTTTCGGCCTCAGGAAGATGAAGAAAAAAAAAGATGAAAACGATGCAGCTGGCCTTGAGTGGACAGGCCTATTCTGCTGGTGCCGCCATCTTGAATAGTTGGGCCCGCACGCACTCTTTCCCCTCTGCGTTGCGGGGCTCGTGCTGTCTCTCCCCTCTGCACTGCGGGGTCCGCGCTCTCTCTCTCTTCCCCTCTGCACCGCGGGGCCCGCACTCGCTCTCTCTTCCCCTCTGCACCATGGGGCCCGCACGCTCTCTTCTGTGCTCTCAGGACAGGGGATACTTTGAGTTTGTACAAATATGTTCATTCACATCATGTGCATGTGGGCATTATGGGCAAGACCAGCAAAAGGGCATTTAGGAATAAGCCACATTGTTGTGGGCTTGGAGTCACATGTAGGCCAGATCAGGTAAGGATGGTAGTTTTCCTTCCTTAAAGGACATTAGTGAACCAGATGGATTTTTTTAAAATAAGAAACAATGATACCATCTTGTCATGACAATCATGACTAACCACCTTTATAAGCCCGATTTACGAAGTGAATTTAATCATCGTTTGGTAGTGCTGAAGTTGAGTATTGCTGAAAAATGATAGACTTTATCAAAGCCTTTTGTCTTGAACATATCAGGACAATTTGTAAGGACTACCAGAGAAAACAATCGTACTGTATGAGGGGAGAGTGATGATTCATTGGCAGGTGATATCTGGTAGAGACCGTGCCTGTTAATGATGTCAAAAGTCACACGACACCAGGTTATAGTCCAACAGGTTTATTTGAAATCACAAGCTTTTGAAGCACTGCCCCTTGGTCAGGCAAATCTTCATCATCTGACGAAGTGGCAATGCTCTGAAAGCTTTTAATTTCAAATAAACCTGTTGGACTATAATCTGGTGTCGTGTGACTTCTGACTTTGTCCACCCCAATCCAACACTGGCACCTCCACATCCTGTTAATGATGAGTGACAGGTAATTGCCAAGCTTTGTTTAAATTTTGAAGACACTGGTTGGTTCAGGCCTGAGAAATGAACCAAGAATGATTAAATGAATGAATGAAAGCTGTGTCTCTTTTTGTCGAATCAGAAGTGTTACATAATCCTGAGATGTCCAATTGAGGAATCTCAGCTGATGGGTGGGTGTGCTGTTTGATGATATTCTACCCTTTGGAACTGAGTGTGTGAAGTATGGTCCCGAAAACCAATATAGGGTAGTCAGTCAGACTCTGTTTGTCATATATGTGTGTGTAATGGAAACTACATGTATTCATACAAAGGGCCCTGTTCTTTGCAAACAGGAAGAAACATTATGTTCTTCATGCGTGTATTAAATTCTGATGAAATCAAATTGGGTTTTGATTTGTTTCTTGACATTATACAGGATTTGCTTCAAGATATTTCTGTGAGCAATTGGCTAAACCAGTGGAGTGGTTTGAAGAAGTTTGGGCCTGATTCGACATTCACAGAAAATGACCAATCAGGAATCAATCGTGTCCAATGCTGAAGATTTGCATTGGAACAGAGACATAGGAAATAGGAGCAAGAACAGGCCATTCAGCCCTTCAAGCCTATACCGCCAGTCAAGATGGTGGTGGCTGATCATCCAACTCAGTTTCCTGTTCCTGCTTTCTCCCCATTCCCTTTGATTTCTTTAGCCCTAAGAACTATATCTAACCGCTTCCTGAAAACATTGTGTTTTGACCTTGACCGCTTTCTGTGGCAGAGACTATGGAAGGTGTGAATTTGGTGTCTATGGTAGCAGTTTGTGCCACGTTGTTAGGGTTGTTTTGTTTGTTTATTTTTTGTGACTACTTTACATATTTTGCCCCTGTTTAATGCAACACAATTGGTGAAAGCAATTCTCTCATTCATTTCTCAGGGCAGCATCTTGACCAATCGGAATTGACTTGCCTGGTTTAAATTTAAACAGGGTACAAAAACAGAAGCTGCTGGAAAAGCTCAGCAGTTCTGGCAGCATCTGTGAAGAAAAAAATCAGAGTTAATGTGTTGGTTCGGGTGACCCTTCCTCAGAACAGTTCTCAGCATTGCTCAAGTTCTGTCCTTCAAAACAGCTACATTGGAGGTGAAATCACCATTTGTAAAGCAAGAAATGCAGAAATTTGCACACCTCAACTCCAATAAATAGCATGTGATCCTGGCCAATTGATCTGTTTTTCAGACATTAGTAGATGGATAAATATTAGCCAGAACACCAAGGGTAACTTCCCTGGCTCTCCGACAAAATAGTGCCACAAGATCTTTGAAGTCTATCGGAGGAGGCCGTTCAAGCCTCTCTGATCCAGAAAGGGGGTATGTCTCTCAGTGTAGAACTGAGGGAGTGATGCTTTAGAGTGTCAGCCTAGATTTTTATGCTGAAGTTTCCAGAATGGCACTTGACCACATGCTCTGCTGTCTTCGAGGTAAGAGTGATCATAACAGAGCAATAACTGATGGATAACAAAACATGTATGCTAAAATTTCATTTTTAGACCTGCAATGAAGAATTAGTCTCAAAACCATTCTAAGAAATACAAGAAATACACTTCCTCCCTGTGCCCTGCTTAATGAAATCATTGGTAAATATTATCCTATGCAATTTGCATAGGGAATATTCCCCCATTTTTGGACTGGTGGATAATGGAAACTTCATCCAAAACATTTGTGAAATAACTCATACAGTGTCTATAGGAAGTGTTGGCTTGAGTGTTGATTTCTCGTTTTTGCTTGTTTTATGAACAGACTCTGAAATGATCTCAGTCACTGCTCGTGAAGGTATGACTATAAACATCAAGCAAGCACCTGGGAGTTTACAGGCTTCTGACTGCAAAATCTGTATCACAGAAGAAGAATGTTACAATGATTATCAGGTCAATCCAGGAGATGATTTCCAATTTGACTTCAGCTGCAGTGAGCCTGAGCAGAGCTTTGTTGTCGAAGTTCAAACAGATATTGGTGAGTATCATTCAGTATATTGACTCTTGTTGAAAGGCTTTATCAAGACATCACAAAACCTCTGTGGGGGTGGGTCTTCTGACTTTCTCCTCCCTCTTTATTTGCATAAGGTTCATTGGAATCTTCAGCCCTTCCATTAAGAATTTAAGAATTTAAGAACATAAGAAATAGGAGGAAAATTAGGCCATTCAACCCTTCCAGTCTGCTCTGCCTTTCAAATGATCTGGCCCAGACCTTAACACCTCTTTTGAGCCAATTCCTCATAGCCCTGATTGATTATTTTTTTAAAAAGTCTACCTACCTCCTCTCTTGGGTGAAGAATTCCTGATGTACACTACCGTCTAGGAGATGAAATCCCTTTGCATCTCATTTTTAAATGAGTGTCCCCTTTATTCTGTAACTATGTCCCCTAGTTTGAGATTCCTGCACTAGTCAGACATCTCCTCAATATCTACCTTGTCAAGCCTTCTCAGAATCTTTTAGTTTCAATGAGATCGAGCCTTCTTCTAAACAGTAATGAATAAAAACTCAACCTATTTAGCCATTTTTAATAAGTCATCCCCTTTATCCCAGGAATCAGCCTTGGGAATTTCTTGTAAACTGCTTACAATGCCAGTATATCCTTTCGTAAATATGGTGACCAAGACTGTACACAGCAATCCAGGGTGTATTCTCATCAACACACTGTACAGTTGTAACAAAACCTCCCTGTTTGCAGACTCCAAACCCCTAGCAATCAAGACCAAATTTCCATTTGCCACCTTAATTACTAGCTGTATTTGTTTGCTAATATTATTTTGGGTTTCATGCACAAGAACACCTAGATCCTTCTACATTACACTTTAGAGTCTCTCTCCATGTACATAATGGCCTGCTTTCTGATTCTTCCTACCAAAGCGCATGACGTCACACCTCCAGACATTAATTTCCATCTGCCAGATTTTTGTCCACCCACTCACTCTATCTACATCCCTTTGCAGACTCCTGATGTCCTCATCATAACATTCCTCTCACCCATGTTTCCATTGTCGGAAAATTTGGATACATCACAATTTGCCCCCATTCGCCAACATAGATAGTAAATAATTGTGACATTAAAATCGATCCTTGTGGCACTCCATTAGTTACGCCTTTCAAACCAGATAATGTGGCAGTAATCCAAAAATCTGCCTTCTGTGTGTTTAACCAATTCTCAATGCATGATAATTCATTGCACCCAATACCGTGTCTTCCTGTATTGTGCATTAAACCTCATCAAGTGCATGCAGGAAATCTAAATACACTACATTTACCAGTTACCCTTTATCAGCTCCACTTGTTATAGCCTCAAAGAATTGTAGCAAACTTTTTTCAAACAGAATTTCCCTTTCACAAAGCCATGTTAAGACTGTTTGATTGCATGAAACTTTTTCAAATGTTTTGCTATTTCTTCTTTAATAATGGACTCTAGCCCATGAAGGGTTTTAGGTTAACTGGCCTATAGTTTCCAGCTTTATGTCTCCCTCCCTTCTCGAGTAGGGGTGTCACATTAAGGGTTTTCCAATCCTCCAGAACTATTCCAGAATCCAGTGAGTTCTGGAATAATTTGAAAAATGCCCCCACTATGTCTTCAGCCACTTCCTTTAAGACTCTCAGATGCATGCCAATAGGTCCTGGTGATTTATCTGCCTTTTGTTCCATTAGTTCATCAAATACTTTGTCCCTCATGATAGACCTTTCCTCCCATTAGCACTTCACTTATCTGATATCTTAGGGATGTTTATAGCATCCTCCACGGGGAACACTAAAGCAAAATATTGGTTTAACTTATCTGCAATTTCATTTTTCCCTACTGTCAATTTCCTAGTCACATCTGTGAAGCGTCCTTCACCCACTTTAGATAATTACTTTCTTTTTATATGCCTGTAGAAGCTCTTGCTATTTGGTTGTAATATTTCCTACCTGTACACTTTTTTGTAATCCATTTTTTCCCTTTTTTTAATTCACCTTTTAGTCGTCTGCTGCCAGTTCCTTATAAAAGCAATTCGTAGTCCTTTGGCTTACCATTAGTTTTTGCCACTTTGTATGCTTTAGTTTGTAATTGAATCCTCCCCTTGACTGCTTTTGTTAACCATGTGTGGTTCATCCTCCTCATTGAGTCCTACTTTCTAACCAGAATACATTTATGTTGAGTGTTTTTGAAATGTCTGTTAAAATGTCATTGCTCATCTACTGACTTTCCCTTTGGTCTATTTTCCCAACCTTTTTGACAGCGCTTTCTTCATACCACTGTAATTGCCCTGGTTTAAGTTGAGGACACTAGTTTAAAACCCTTGCTGTCCTTCAAACTGAATTTCAAATTCTACCACATTGTGATTACTACCCCTTAGAAGATCCTTAATTAAGACATTCCTTATTAATCCCCTCTCATTGCATGTTACTTGATTTAAAATAACCTGCTCCTGACTAATCCCTGATGCTTTCTACAAATTGTCTTCCATATTGTTCTTGCTAATCTGATTTGTCCAGTCAATACACAGATTAAAACCACCAGTGACAGTTGTTGAACTGTTGTTGCATGTTCACATTCTTTCCTGATTTATACTTTGACGTATAGTGAGGCAGTTCTTTTGGGGGCTGGTAGACAATTCCAATCCATGCCTTCTTTCTTTTGCTATTTCTTATTACCACTGAAACTGGTTCCATGTCACGACCTATTGCACTCAGATCACTACTCACCACAGCACTGATGTCTTCCTACATCAGCAAAGCAACCCCATCTCCTCTTCCTTCTACCCTGTTCTTCTGGAACATCAAATACCTTTTGAATATTGCATTCTCAGTCCAAATCACCCTGTAACCATATCTCTGTAATACCTATTAAATCATATTCATTTATTTCTATTTGTGCCGTCAACTCAGCAGTCTTGTTACAAATGCATGTATTGTAAGAGCCTTAAGCTTTTGAGTTTTCACCATTATTATTTATTGTGTTCTAATTTCTGCTACAGTTTTCTGCCCTTCCTTTCACACTTTTTGATTATTGTTCTTCTCTTCACTACCCTGCACTGTTGTTTCTTTTTTGATATATTTTTAAAAAATTTCCTTCAATTTAAGCTTCTCCCTCAAATATTTAGCTCAAAGCCCTATCTGCAACCCTGGCTTATACAAGTTGCCAGGAAACTAGTCCCAGTGCTCTTACCAATGTCCCTTGAATCAGAACACATTTCTACCGTGCCAATCTTGGAGCCACGTGTTTACCTTTCTAATTATATTTACCCCTTGCCAATTTGCATGTGGCTCAGTTAGTAACCCTGACAGTGTTACCTTTTCTGGTTCAGCTCTTTAGCTTAGCCCTGAGCTACACATAGTCCAACAGCCAAACTTGTTTCCTAGTTTTAACTATGTTGTTGGTACCTCCATGGCAACTGGATCTTTACCCTCCCACTCCAAGTTGCTCTCCAGCCCAGAAGAGATGTCCTGAACATTGCCACCAGGTAGGAAATGCAGCCTTTAGGACAGTCTGTCTTTGCAGAGAACAGTATCCATTCCCCTACTATGCTTTCCTCTGTTATTATTACATCTGTGTTTGCTCCCCGACATGAATAGCACTGTGGTGCTGTGGTTTGTTCATTCTTCCTCCCTGCAGTTTGTGCCCTTGCCCACACCATGAGTAAGACCTTGTACTTAAAGGATTAGGGCACTGGTTGAGGCTCCTCCACAGCTAAATTCTGGAAACCCGTACCTATCTCATTCTTCCTATCCCTGAAGTTAATCTAAAAAGGTATGACTGCCTCCTGGAACATTATTGTCCAGGTGAGCATCCCCCTCCCTAGTATATCACTGTGCCAGCAGCCCAGTCTCTAGCTCATCAGCTCTGAGCAGCCAGCATTTACTGCAGATGAGGTCACCGTGATTTACACCAGTATCCACTAACTCCCACGTACTACAGCTGCAACGCATCACCTGTCCATCCATCTCTATTCTATCCCAACATCATAATTTGGATATGAGATATTTTAAAAGTGAATTTCCTTACAGCTGAAGAGTGCAGTTATAATGCCTCCTGATTTAAACCACTTGACCCATCAAAAGATGTAGGAGAAATACTCACCAATCACTTATCCATTTTCCTGTAATGTCTCACTTTCCTGTTGACAGAAGAAGCAGGTTAAGAAGGCTGTCTGCTGACTTTTTTCACAAAGGCTCCCTCTCCCAGTCTGCTTCCTGACGATACTGACTTGCTGCACACTCCTCCCAGTCTGATGTTGATTTCTGCATGTCCTGATTGTAATGAGGTCAGCCAGGTGGTCCTCCTAGAATATGAGCTCCCTGATTGGACCAGGTTAACAGCCCTCATCAAGGAGCCCTGGCTGACAGATAAAAACAGGAGTGCCACACATCCTGCTCAGTCTGAGCGCTAGCCCTGAGGAAGCTGGATCAGTTTCAAGGACTGTCCATGTCTAAATAAAAGGTGACCTGGTGACTGGATATCAACCTCTCTCTGGAGTTATTTCACTGCCCACTGCGCCCAGTCTGCTTCACAGTGATGATGCCCTGCAGGAAGGGTAGGGGCATAATGCCTACTGTCCTTTGCCAGGCTCCCATGTCTACATAGGAGCTATGAGATAATGGTCAGATGGAACTATCTCACGACCCACATAATTGAGGCAACAATTTAGCAGAAATTGAAAACATAAATTTCAGCCTGGTTTCTTTTGTTGGTTCTTCCAGAAAGTGCAGAGGCTGACCTGGAAGATGTGGTGAATCTGCTGGAGTTGCCGCAGCTCAACAGGACGTACATCTGGAACATCACTGTGCCTTACAAAGTCGGCGTACACATGAGCTTTGCTGGCAATCACTTGGAGCAGATCGACTCAGCTGAGTGCGAGGATTCTCTCACATACACCATCAAGGGCCACTTAAGTTCCGATCCCACAAGCACTGTCCTTGTTGGTAACTTTTGTCGGAATGGCACCATCTCCAATGTGAAGGTTCAGGGCAAAACATTGATTGAGCTTAAAGTGCCCTGGACTGAGATGATTGAGAAAGCAGGATTTCAGCTGTTCTTCGTACCCGCTATTGGAAGTATGTTCCATATTTGCTTAACCTCAAAAAATAATCTTACACTTATAAACGTTCAATTTTTAGCATAAAATCCTACCAGTAATGCCCTTCTATTGTGTTTCCCGTCTCGCTGTTCTCACTGGAGGCTGTCAATGATATCTTTGGGAGACTTCAAGTTACCTTGTGGACAATGTGTGCCTGTTGAAACAGCAAAAATCTTGAGTGGTCTTGATCAGGTGGATACCTGAACAATATTTATTGTTTAAGTGGAACTAGCTGACGCAGTTTAAAAATGAGAGATCTCCCGTTTTGGACAGAGATGAGGACAGTCCTTTTCTCTGAGGGTCATTTAGACTGTGGGATTCTCTTCCCCAGAGTATGGAGAGGCTGATCTTTAAATTTATTCAAGACTGAATTGGATATGTTTTTGTTTGACAAGGGAGTCGAGGGTTTTGAGGTTGCGTAGGAACGTGGAGCAACTCCAATGGAGGAGCAGTTAAGCTCTGGGATAAGTAAGAAGACTGAATTAAAGGAGTGTAGTTATCTCTGAGGAATGTCAGGTTGGAGGAGGTTAGGTAGATGGGGAAGACTCTTGCCCTACAGGGATTTTCAAACCAGAGTATTTCATAATCGAGGTATTTCCAGCTGGGAGCCAGACTGATGGGTCCTAACAGCTCTGTGGGCGCACCTAGCCCTCAATGTGGGCTTCAGGGGCTCGAGAAGAGCAATTGCCATCCCCTTTTTCTCCAGGGCAATTAGGGATGGGCAATAAATGCTGGCCCAGCTACATCCCTTGGATGGCTTTTTACAGGATAGATAGAGAAGTGGTTACACTTGAAGGTATCAAGCAAGTTCTATGAGAAGCATTAAGAAAATTAAGTTTGCTGTTTTGAAAAAGTTGAGCTATGAACCAATTATATTTGAAATATTCAAAGTTGTGAAGGGATTTGTGCAATACTCCCAAGTGGGGAGATAGTGGTGGGATTGATCTCTTGGCTGGGGTCGGGTCGGTAAGGTGGTGCGTTGGGGACCTATTGCTCGATATTACTACTGTCGTTCAGAGGTTCTGAGATCTAATTATTGGTTTCTCGCGTCATTTCAGAGTTCAGCATTGTCGAGGTGGTTCTGCAGCCGGGCTCTCCTGCCTACTTCATGTCAGCTGATTGGCCCGAAGGCTTTCCAAATGATGAGCTGATGTCCTGGCGGTTTACAGTCCCTTCCAAATACCATGCTAACGTCACCATTGAGACGTTCACCCTCCCAAAGTGCATTAAGAGGAAAGCTGGCGTGTACAATGGCCCACCCGTGCTTGGGAAAATGGAGGGGAAATATCGAGCAGACTTTATTATATCTTTGCAGAACTGTGACATGGACCAGACAAGTTCTGAAGTGCTAACTTTTAGGTTCAAAGTTGATCTCCTTCGGTACAGAGGTAAGCATTTTCTCCGTTATTATGGTGTGGCTCCTTTTGAAGCCAAAAGGCTGTGCTTTGGCTCATTGAGAACATATTGCTCCGTCTCTCTATTTTCCATCCTTATTGTTGTCAATTCCTTTTGCATCATGAGACACGGCTTCAAAATCCTGGGCTCCCTCCCTAACGGCATGGTATGAGTCCCAACACCACAGGCAGTTTATGGAGATGTCTCAACATGATCTTCGCTGGGGCAGTTACAGATGGACAACAAATGCTGGGGCTGTCGGTCATGCCCTCATCACCTAAAAGCATATATTTTTTAAAAAAAATGAAAAGAATCCCGTGGCCCTAAAGATAACCATTTGACCAACTGATCTTCCTCTGAAGAGCATTTCACATACTCCCACTCATTCCCATGGTCCCTGCAGGTTTTCCTCCTTTCAATGACTAACCTTTGAATGCTAAGATAGAATCTGTTTCCATTGCCTAATCAGATGGTGCATTGGAAATTCTAACCCCTTGTTCATTCATTTCTTTTTAAGAACAGCTTCTCCTCACACACCCTCTGACCTTGAATGATGTGTGTTGGCTCCCAATGCAGACTGTCCAGCATGGTACTAGGGTACTTGCTGCACTGTCTGAGGTGCTGCTCTCCTGATGGGAGTCAGAGCCTCAGCGCAATGACTCCTCTTGAAAAAATAAAGATAGAAACGTAGATAATAGGAACAGGTTGAGGCCACTCAGCCCTCTGAAACTGCCCCTCCATGGCTGATCATCCACCCCTGTCCCCTGTTCCTGTTTTCATCCCTTTAGCCCTGAGAACTGTATCTAACTCCTTCTTGAAAACATTCAATAATTTACCCTCAACTGGTTTCTGTGGCAAGATTTCCACAGGCTCACTACTCTCTCTCTCTCTCTCTCTCTCTCTCTTACTCTCTCATTCTCTCACACTCTGTCTCTTACTCTCTCTCTCTCTCTCTCTGGGTGAAGACATTTCTCCTCGTCCCACTCTTAGCCCATACCCTTTCCCATCTTTTGGACCAGTTTAAAGATCCCATGGACATGACTGTGAGTTACCCTGGCCAGTACTCATCCTGCCACCGGCATTGCCAAATATTTACTGGATTATTGGCAGAATGCTGTTTTTCAGATCCTGCTGTGCCATTCATTTGCATATCCATCATGACAGCTTAATAGTTTTTGATCATTATAGAGGAGTTTGGGGTGCTGTGAAAGGCACTATAGGAATGCAGTTCTTTCTTTGCATTACTTTCTCTCACACTTTCTCCACTCTCCCCACTTTTGTGGTTTAGCCCCCACCCCCAACCCCAATCTATCGCTCTCTGAGTAATAATCCATTTCTCAGTCTCTTGTGATGTAGTGCAGTTGGGTTGTAGGAGCAGGCTATGGCTGTTGCTGATAAGGTAGCATTTATAACTACTCACTCTCTCCCGTTCTCCCCAGCCTCTAGCAATCACTCAACAACTCTGTTGAACATGCGTCTACTTAACAGCTTTGTCGGAGCCTGTTTTCAGTTATCGTTATCGCTGCCCGTTCAGACTTTGCAGTTGTGCATTTTTGTTGGCATTTTACCCTGTTTCCACAGCAACGTGAATCAATTCTACTGTAATGTTTCTGTGCATGCTTTCTTCAGGACTGCTTGTTGTCCCTGTGCGTGTGTGTCCCTGTGCACATCCCTGTGTCTCTGTGTGTGTGTCTGTGCGTGTCTCTGTGCGTCAGTGTGTGCGTGTGTCCCTCTGTGTGTCTGTGTGTGTCTCTGTGTCACTGTGTGTCCCTCTGTGCGTGTCTCTGTGCGTGTCTCTGTGCGTGTCTCTGTGCGTGTCTCTGTGCGTGTCTCTGTGTGTCAGTGTGTGCGTCTGTGCGTGTGTGTGTCTGTGTGTCCCTGTGCGTCAGTGCGTGTCTGTGTTGTCCCTGTGTCTCTGTGTGTGTCTCTGTGCGTCAGTGTGTGCATCTGTGCGTGTGTCCCTCTGTGTGTCTGTGTGTCCCTGTGCGTCAGTGCGTGTCTGTGTTGTCCCAGTGTCTCTGTGTGTGTCTCTGTGTGTGTCTCTGTGTGTGTCTCTGTGTGTGTCTCTGTGCGTGTGTCACTGTGTGTCTGTGTGTGTCCCTGTGTCTCTGTGTGTGCGCGTCACTGTGTGTCTCTGTGCGTGTCTCTGCGTCTGTGTGCGTGACTCTGTGTCTCTGTGCGTGTGCCCCTCTGTGTGTCTGTGTTTGTGTCTGTGTGTCTGTGCATTTGTGCATGTGTCCCTGTGTGTGTGTCTGTGTGTCTCTGTGCATGTAATTGCACAGGGACTGCAGCTGATGTGACATTTGGAAACTGTCAGGTTGTCAGGGTTAGGGTTTGTATTTGACTAGACTGGGAGTGGCTTCAAGACAGGACTTGTGATTTACCTGGAACCGTGACCAGCCCTTGGTCAGGTCAATCCCACCATCGACATCTGTGTCAAGAGGTTCATTTTTGCAACGTTTAACACAAGATGACAAACTTTGATTTGCAATTCGCATCTTTGTTCCTCCTTTCTGTTCTCCATGACCCAGTTGATGGGTGCTGGGAATGTAACGGGGGATGGTGTGGGGGGTGGGAGAACAGAGAGCGTGGCTGCGAGTGAGAGAATGTGAATTAGTGTGCACAGATCATGGAGCAGCAAACACAGGTCTCCCCTCAGCAAAAAATCAATATCGCTCTAGCAACGGAAGCAATAGCTGGATTGGATTCACTAACTCAGGGCTCACCCCCTATGCCAACCCGTGTCCATTAAGCATGACTGACTGGGAGATGGGAATAATTCATTCCTCATGATGAATAGCTCTTTTGTGCCAGGAGACAAGAGAGTCTGCAGCTTTGGAGCCCTGATAATGATTTAATTTGGTGGCTCCTCTCCTACTCTCTCTCTTGGTATCAGTCAGGATGCCCTACCTCTTACTGCTGCCAGCTCAGGAATTCCTCTCATAAACACCATTAAAAAAGGAGAAGTGACATTAGGAGAGTGTGTGCCACTGTTACTTGATGGTGCCAGCCACAGTTTGGGTGGTAGGTGCTTGTCCGGAGATCTGAGTCCCACTCCAGAAACGTGGCACCAGACTCCAGTGCAGTACGGAGGGTGTGCTGCACAGTTGAAGGTGCCATCTTTCAGGTGAGATGTTAGGCTGAGTTCCTGCCTGCCTGCTGTCTTCGGACGTGACGTGGATCCTCTGGTGGAGAACGTTGTGTCTAAGCCGTCCAGTTGCTCGGAGGGTCCACGCATGCCAAGCAGCGTACAGACTTAGTTAACTTACGGTTCTGGAAGGCACTGCTGTGCATGGAACTCTGGGGCAGAGTGGCCAGTCGAGAGTCTAACACCAGAGAGCACCGTCTTGGAATGAGGGGCAAGCCGCTTAAAGTCTTTAGAATTTTCCAAGTAAAAACTGAAAGAACTGCGCGTGTTGTAAATCAGAAACAAAAACAGAAGTTGCTGGAAAAGCTCAGCAGGTCTGGCAGCATCTGTGGAGAGAAATCGGAGTTAATGTTTCGGGTTGAGTGACCCTTCCTCAGAACTTCTAGATTTTTCACTCCAGCAAGGTTGATCTGCCATGGTGGGACGAACCCGGCTCCCCAGAACATGAGCTGAGTTTCTGGATTAATAACCTAGTGCTAATACCATTAGATCATTGCCTCCCCATCACTAGACCATTGCCTCAAACAAATACACAAACCAGGATTCTGCTCTTAACAAAAGTTACTATTTATTACAAGTAATTAGACCCTAGCTGCAGGTAAATAATTAGGAATCATTGGCATGTACTTAACTGCTAGTTAAAACTTTTTTAATTCCTTTATAAACTTCCCCTTACATAAACACACAGGGAGAAAAAACATGGGTGTTATGGATGGAGGGAAAGAATGGGAAAGCAGTTCAGTGGTTCTTGTTCACAGGGTTTGCTGAGATGGTTTTAGCATTGATCAGAACGCTGCTTATTGGTCTTCCTTCTCTGGATGATTGCACTGGTTTGCAGAAAGCACAGGGTAACTGGTTCTAAAAGGTGTGATCCAGGATCAAAGAACACTGAATTAAGGCAATTGACAACAGAAGCAAAAACAAAAAGTTTTTAGTTTACAGCAGCCTGAGGTTAGGATCAGAGTGCGTTCTCCCTGTGTGTGGTGGAGGCAGATTGTACTGTGACGTTCCATTTGGAATTTGGGATAATTATTGGGAGAGGAATCTGCAAGTGTACAGAGAAAAGGCAGGGAACTGGTCAGACTTGAGCTGCTCCCTTCAGGGAGCTAGTATGTCACAACAGGCCGAATGGCCTGTAGCTGAGCTGTGGCCATTCTGAAAGTGGAGGTGTGTTTTAAAATGCAAATCAGTGTCAATATTTTCTACAATCCAGCCTTTATTCCCACCTGAATAAGATTGAAGGATAAATTGCATTAGGTTTGCAGAGAGAGAAATTAATTTTGCTTGCAGCATTGTAATTTATCCATCAGAACATGGAAAAGTGGATTATTAATTGTCAAATCAACTAAAGAAATTGAGATAATCTGCGTACTGTGAGGTTGCTTTCTCTTGTAGGGAAAATAGAACTGGTGGTGAGGTTGGGCAAGGGAGTTTAAGAGTAGGAGATCTCCATTTTTAAGATGGAGTCGAGAATTCTTTTTTGCTCTGAGGGTCATTAGACTTGGAGTTCTCTTCCCCAGTGCAGACTGGGTCAGTGAATGGTTTCGAGGCTGTGTTTGACAGAGTTTAGATCAATATCTAAGGGAGTTGAGGGTTATATGGGATCGAGGGTGAGGGAAGATCCCTGCTAGATCAGCCATGTTCTCATTGAGAGATGGAGAATGCAAGATGGGCTACCTTTGCTCCCAAAGATTCGTGTTCCTATTTGACTGAATTGGGTGTAGAGAAAAATATGCTCTTCAATTAATCTGACAGGTTCTGATACCCCTCCATAACAGGGGGCCTTGGAACCTAGAGTTCATAGCTTAAAGATAGGGACACCTTGATTTAAAATTTTCAAAGTCA